CTGCCCATATTGGTTTAGCAAAGCAAATTAGATTACGCTAATCCTCTTGCTGCTTGAAGGAGCTCAGGGTAGCTAGGAGTGAGCGCTCTGTGTGTGTGTGTGTGTGTGTGTGTGTGTGTGTGTGTGTGTGTGTGTGTGAGCGAGCGTTGGTCTGCATTTCTCATTCTGAGCTGTCTTCAGAGCAGGATGCCCTACTGGGCACTCCCTTGTTGGTGGCCATGTTGTCGTCTAAGAGCCCTGCTGGATTAGGGCCCCCAAAAATTCATCTAGTCCTGCATTCTGGTTCCAACTGAGGCTCGCCAAATACTTCTGGGGGAGTTCGCAATCAGAGTCATCCCTACCGATGTCAGCCTGAGGATCTCCAGGAATTACAGCTCATCTCCAGGCTGCAGAGATCAGTTCCCGTGGAGAAAATGGATGCTTTGGAGGGTGGATTCCATAGCATTAAACCCCACTGAGGTCATAAGAATGTAGGAGAAGCCATGTTGGATCAGGCCAATGGCCCATCCGGTCGAGCCCAGTGGCCAAAACCCAGGGGCCATCAGGAGGCACACCAGTGGGGCCAGAACTCCAGAAGCCCTCCCACTGTGGCCCCCGTGCACCAAGAATACAGAGCATCCCTGCCCCAGTCAGAGGTTCTATCTATACCTTGTGGCTAATAGCCACTGATGGACCTCTGCTCCATCTGTTTATCCAGTCCACTCTTGAAGCTTTCTAAGCTTGTAGCCGCCACCACTTTGTATGGCAGTGAATTCCACATGTTGATTACTCTTTGGGTGAAGAAGTCCTTCCTTTTATCTGTTCGGAGCCTATTGCTCATTAATTTCATCGGATGCCCAAGAGTTCTTGTATTGTGAAAAAGGGATAAAAGTATTTTTTTCTCTACCTTCTCTATCCCACGCATAATTTTGTAAACCTCTGTCATGTCACACCTCAGCTGTCGTTTCTCCAAGCTAAAGAGCCCCAACCTCTTCAACCTTTCTTTATAGGGGAAGTGTTCCATCCCCTTAATCATTTCAGTTGCCCTTTTCTGCACCTTTTCCAATGCTACAATATCTTTCTTGAGGTGCGGTGACCAGAGCAGTACGCAGTATTCCAAATGAGTCTGCACCAGGGCTTTTTTTGTAGAAAAAGCACAGCAGGAACTCATTAGCATAATAGGCCACACCCAACAGGAGAAATTCATTTGCTTATTAGGACACACCCCTGACAGCACAGCTCATTAGCATATTAGGCCACACACCCCATGTTACCAGAAGCGTGGTCATCCAGCCACACCTACCTTTTGCTTCTTATTCTGTTTACCTTGTTTGTGGTCAAAACCCAGGGCTTTTTTTGTAGCAAGAACTCCTTTGCATGTTAGGCCACACACCCCTAATGTAGCCAATCCTAATGGGTTTCTGCTGTTGGGTGTGATTCCTGCCCAAAAATAGCCCTGGTCTGCACCATAGATTTATACAGGGGCATTATGATACTGGCTGATTTGTTTTCCATCCCCTTCCTAGTAATCCCCAGCATAGCATTGGGCCTTTTTTTATTGCAGTCGCACACTGAGTCGACATCTCTCTCTCTCTCTCTCTCCTGGTCAGTTACGACCACTCCGGACCCCGCCCTCCACAGGCTCAACCCCCAAATCTCCAGGAGTTTCCCATTCCGGAGCTGGCAACCCTATCCCCCCCTTCCCCTGCTAGTGGTCAGGGGGGACCCGGCAATCCTGGTGTTTCTCCCCAACACCTGATGCCATAATGAAAACTTCCAGCCTCCGGGGGTGCCCCAGTTCATCTTTTATGTACCTGCGATCAGTGTTCCCTCTAAGCTGAGTTAGTGTGAGCCAGCTCACAGTTTTTTAGCCTCCGGCTCACGCATTTTTGTCTCGGCTCAGGAAGGGATGGCTCCAGAGCAAACTGATTGATGCAGCAGCCAGATCGCTCGCTCACAACTTTCATGCCAGTAACTCACAAAGCAGAATTTTTGCTCACCGGACTCCACAGCTTAGAGGGAGCATTGCCGGCGATCCTTTCAAAATAGCCAGCAGCGAAGCCAGCAGGCTTGGAAAAGTTAGGCCGTGCCTGCCAAAGAAGCCCTCCCCATCCCTGGCACGCCCTTCCTGGCATGGCCCCTCGCCGCGCCTTGGCCCCTCCACCCAGGGGGCACCTTTGGGCCACGAGAGTCAGATTCCGCCGGGTTTCTTGGAAGCTGGTTGCGCTGTGTGACGAAGGCTTCCTGGCATGCCGCATCAGCGCTGACTCGCCGGGGGTAGGGTAGGGGCCAGCATATATATCCTGCTGGTGCTGAGTCAGCCCTCGCCAGCGGCTCCAGCAGCCTCCCGCTGAACTTCACCAACTATTCTTGGTCAGGAGGGAAGGAAGCGGCCCAGGAGCACAACTTCCGTCGTCTGTCTGCTCCGTTTTCAAGCGGCCCTTGGTTTCCTCCTCCGTAGACTTGGCTGCGTTTGGATTTTTTGCAAAGGAGAACGAAGCAGAAGTGGGTAAATCGAAGCCTGCCTTCAGTTTTGTCAAGGGCTGGGGGGGGGGGGATCCCCCGGGGATTTCCTTGGAGCTTAACGCCAGGTAACAAATCCTTGATGAAGTCAGAATGCCTTCGCGTGCCACGGACCTGCTCCCTTGATTTCAGAAGACCGCCTAGGTCAAAGAGGCAAGAGAGTGAGGTAGCAGAGTGGACTGGGCCAGTGGAGACTACAGGTGGTGGATGCCAGCTTGACGTGCTCCTTCACAACAAAGAACTCCACGCAGATAGAAAACTAGCTCAGCAGAGGGGGGGGGGGGGGAGAGAGGGAGAGAGAAGAGCGCAGAGAGAGAGAGAGAGAGAGAGGTCTCATCCAGTATTCCCTCTAAGCGGTGTTAGTGTGAGCTAGCTCACAGTTTTTTAGCCTCCGGCTCACAGATTTTTTGTCTTCGCTCAGGAAGGGTGGCTCCAGAGCAAACTAATGTATGCAGGAGCCAAAGCACTGGCTCACAACTTTAATGCCCGTAGCTCACCAAGTAGATTTTTTCCTCACCAGACTCCACAGCTTAGAGGGAACATTGGTCTCAACCCACCCACCCGCACCCACGTTGCCTCCAGTGCTGCTGCTTTTAACATAGGGGAGCATTTCCAGAGGTGATCTGCCGCCTGCAGTTTGAAGAGATGCAGTCTGTTCTGCCACCCCTGTCCCTTGCAAGTGTGCCACGAGGCTTCAGAAGACCACCACAGGTGGGCATTTTACCTGTGCCGCAAGGGAGTTTGGGCTGTCACCTTTCAGCATCCCGAGAATCACAGCTTTCACTTAAAATCAAAAAGCGAGCTCCCTACAGCGTCAGAGAACCATTTGAAAGAGCATGAGCAGCCCTGACCAGACAGCCGAGGCAAGCCCGATCTCGGAAGCGAAGCAGGGTCGACTCTGGCAAGGATTTGGATGGGAGACCTCCTTGGAATACCAGAGGCAGGAAGGCGGGGGCAGGGCTTTATTCAGCCACCTCTCTGAATATCCTCCAGGCCCCCAGTAGGGCTCAGTCACTGGAGGTCGCCATGACTTCCAGGTGCACACATACTTGCATGCACATAAGAAAAATGCAACAACAACAAAAAAACCCCACCAAAACAGAAGAAAAGAAAGATCACGAGCAGTTCACAGTGAAATCTTAATAGTGAGGATGGAGAGGGGTTTCTGTGGCTCCACGGCCACTACAGGCCTTGGCGTCTCCTCTGTAACTAGCAGAAGTTCTGCCGATCCTGCCTAACATTTTCATTGATTTATTTTTAAGTTGCTTTTTTATTAATCTGTATAATCGGTGCCCATTTCAGAATTCTGCTTCCCGCGGCTCAAATGTAGGCTAAAGCTGGAGCAGGGCTTCTGCCCCATTAAATGTATTTTTATTTTGCTTATGGTATCATGTTTTCTGCCAGGTACTTTGTGTGTGTGTGTGGGGGGGGGAGTTGTATATATGCTGCGGGCTCAAGGGTAGAGGTCCTGGTTCAGTATCAGTCATTGGAAAAGATCTCACACAGCAGGTCCTGGGCAAGAGTTTTCTCTGCCTGAGACCATGGCGAGGTGCTGTCTGTCAAAGGAGGCAATACTGAGCTAGACGGGCCGGCAGTCAGGTACGAGGGCATCTTCCCTCTGTTGGCTTTTCAGGACTCCCTTGGCAGGCTTCTGTGTGCAGCTGGTTCCTCTGCAGGGTTCGATCCAGTGCCTGAAAAGTCAGAAGCAAGACGGAGCAGACTCTGGCAAAGAGAAGCAGCTGTGGGGGACAGTCAGTTGTCGTCGCTCAAGCCTCATTTGAAAGCTTTCCTAGGTGCCGGACCACCTCTGGCCTTTTGCTGTTCAAGAGGTCACTTAGCGGGCTGCCCTGAGGGGGGACGTGATCGAGGTTTATAAGATTATGCGTGGGATAGAGCAGGTAGAGAAAGAGGTACTTTTCTCCCTTTCTCACAATACAAGAACTCGTGGGCACTCCATGAAATGGCTGAGCCAGTCGGGTTAGAACAGATAAAAGGAAGTCCTTCTTTACCCAAAGAGTGATGAACACATGGAATTCACTGCCACAGGAGGTGGCGGTGGCTACAAGCATGGATGGAATACAAGCAAGAGGGAATTGGATAAACATATGGAGCAGAGGTCCATCAGTGGCTATTAGCCACAAGGGATAGATAGGAACTCTCAGTCTGGGGCAAGGGATGCTCTGTATTCTTGGTGCTGGGGGGGGGGGCAACAGTGGGAGGGCTTCTAATGTCCTGTCCCCACTGCTGGACCTCCTGATGGCACCTGGTATTTTTGGCCACTGTGTGACAGAGTGTTGGACTAGATGGGCCATTGGCCTGATCCAGCATAGGCTTCTCTTATGTTCCCAGAGTGAAGATGCAGGGACAGGGGAGGGTGGCTTCCTTCTCTTGATTTTCCCTCGCATCCAGTTGCTGTTAAAGCACAGTGCCTCCGTCAATTCAAGGTGTCTGGAATATGGGGCGTGTGTTTGTTGATAAGCTTCTTTTCCCCCTCCTAGGCTGTAAGACTGGAAAGCACGTATCAGAACCGCACACGATACATGGTGGTGGTCTCGACCAACGGTCGGCAAGACACGGAGGAAAGCATTGTCCTCGGAATGGATTTCTCGTCCAATGACAGGTACTCTGTATGCTTGGAGACGGTTGACTGGAATGCGTATCGGGCACAGTTTGGGTCGCCCCGTTTCCAAGAGGATGTTGGAAAAGGACAGTAAAATGGCCAAAGAGCTGGAATAGATTTCTCTATGAGGACTTTGGACTTCTTAGTGTAAGAGAAAGATGGCTAAAGGACAAAGTGGGGGCAGTGTGGCAAGGGTGTATAGAACAAAGTGTGGAGTCCCGTGGCACCTTTAAGACCAATGAAGTTTAATTCTGGGCATAAGCTTTCGTGTGCAGGCACACTTCTTCAGATGTAGCTGAAGAAGTTTGCGTGCACATGAAAACTTATGCCCAGAATTAAACCTCATTGGTCTTGAAGGTGCCACAGGACTCCACACTTTGTTCTGTTGCTTCGGACCAACACAGCTAAACCACCTGAATCTATCTTCATGGAGGGTGTACAGAGAAATACTTTTTCCTCTCCTATAACTCTAAAACACAGGTTCACTTAGTATGCTTGTCTGGAAGCAGATTCAGGGTGGCCGTATGGAAAACTTTTTTATTTTATTTACATAATGCACAATTAACGTGTGCAGTTTACTGCGACATGATTGCTGTGATTCGCCACTAACGTGGGTAGTTTTGAAAAATATGTCACTCGTGTTTGCAGAAGCGGCTATTGATTGGATTGGAAATCAGTCTGGGCAAGCCCAGTGGGTTTTGAGAGTGCAAGCAGGTCACACACAGACACAAACACACACACACACAGCATGTTCTTGTTGCACTGCACAAGGCTATGAAGAGTGCGGACAATAGCGCTATTTCAGTAGGGAATAGAGTGAGGGATGGTTAGACTTCCCAGCCATGGTGGACTTTAGGAGCAAGCCTAGGTCTTCGGAGACGCCCCTTCCTCCACGGGTGTTCAGTTGCACACTTTATGTAGGGCGCAGAATTAGGTTTTCTTGGTCATGGAGTTTGAGTCGGTGCTGGTGCTTAATCTTTTTTTTTTTTAACAGTTTATTAATAGGATATGATAACATTTTCATCATTTTCGTTACAACACTCCTATTCTTATTCTTCACATATCCTGTTTTTATAATATCTCCCTCCCCCACCCCCTTACTTGGCTTCCCGCAATGCTCCTATCCCGTTATCTACTTCTTATTTTCTTAATTTCACTCTTAACTTTATAATAATATCATTAAACATTTAATTCTTACTTATCTGTATCTATCTCACATAATCAGGTAACCTTAAATTTCAATTTTCCCTTAAATCATTCTCCAATATTCTATTTTAATATTCATCAAAACATAGTAAATTATTTGTGACATCCCAATTCATTTTGCTGGTGCTGAATCTTTATTGGTTTTAGGACAAAGGTCGAGTCCAGTGGGGCACCTTTAAGACCAACAAAGTTTTATTCAAGGAAAGAGCTTTTGTGTGCATGCAACACTTCCTCAGATACATGCGTGCACACGAAAGCTCATACCTTGGATAGAACTTTGTTGGCCTTAAAGGTGCCACCGGACTCAACCTTTGTTCTGCTGCTTCAAACCAACACGGCTTCCCACCTGAATCTCTCTTGATTGGTTTTAGTTTTTGAAGAGGGATTCATAAATCTTCCCTTTTCGTCTCTTTCTGTTTTCTTGCCTCGCCGTTATCATAAGTCTTTTTCACTCTGCCCCTTTTGCTTCTTCCGTTCCCATTTAGTTTGCTGCTGAGATGCTCTTTCTTATGCCATTTATACACACAAAAACAACACTTAAAATTGTGTAGATTTAGCAGGGAAAATACGCTGCGAGGAAATGGAAAGTGCTGCAGAAACGGAGACTTGTGGGTTTGATTCGCACAAAGGAGAATGGAAATCAAAGCAGATGTGCTTGAGCCTCACTAGCAGAGCTGCAAGATTTGGTATCAACCCCCCCCCCTTTTTTTAAAAAGCAAGTTCAGAGTACAGCCACCATCACTGCCCTCTTGCATAAGACTTTTATTTCCTTTTGTTTCGTCTTAATACTGGCAAGAGCCACCACTCCACCCCCAATCCCAGGCAAGGAATTAACAGGAACTTGACCTCAGCCAACCCTAAGAATCAGTCTGGCAGAGGTCACATCCACCAAACTGTTGCAGGTGTTGATTTTGAATCTAGAGCTTTTTCTTTTTGTCCCCCCCCCCCCGAAACATACCACGGTTACTAGGGAGTTCCCAGAACCAGGGGCTGCTCTAGTCATTTTCTGCAGTCTTTCGAATGGTACTCAAACCAAACAACAATAATTAAAAGAGCAGCAACAGTAATAAAAAGAGCAACAAAGAAAGAGTCAGAACTGTCATTAAAGCTGTCGGGGGGGAACAACCTTTACCATTTCCAAATGCTCTGTGAAATACAGAGGTCTTTACAGTACTAAGACAGAGCTGATCCGGCCCTTTGGAGAGAAGGTCTCTATGCCGTTGTTGACCTTGGTGTTGTTCTGCCTCGTTTATAACATCATCGGTGTTTCGTGGGTTTTAATGCAGTTTTGATGCCAGTCGATGCGCAAATGAAGTGGGAAAATGTAGTCCTTCATGAAGGAATCCTGAATATGGTGCAAAAAACAAACTGGCTGGTGCATTTCTCGCCAGAGGGGAAATGAAATGGGAATGCGGACATTTGAGCAGGGCCAGCACCCTTGCAGAATGTGACCACCTTCCTAATCCCTGATGCCTTTCTCAAAGCCTCTTACCTGAGCAGTCTCCAGAGGCTGCTACGCTAAGCATCAGTTTGGATTTTTGGTACAGGAGGTAATAAGAAGTATACTGGGAAGAGGGCGCAGCTTGCCAATCCACCTGCCCCTAGGCCGTGTTCTGTATTCAGTCACTTGTAATCACCCAGAAAAGGTTGTATGAGTTTGCTGGAACGTTCCCACGGCCAGCCTGACCGTCTAGGTCAGGTGTGGCCCAATTTGCTCAGCGTAAGAGCCACATAGAATAAATGTCAGATGTTCGAGAGCCGCAAAACATGAACAAATAGTATACACACGTTTTTATTTTAAAATACGCAAATTTGCTTTTTATTAACATTAAATGAGACGGCCGAAAATAAAAACAAAAGGGGTAAAAACAGATATTGATAATGATGTTTATTTGTCCGATGATATTTATTTGTTTAAGAGAGAGAGGTGGAAAGAAAGAATGAAAGAGGTGGAAAGAAAGAATGAAAGAGGCGGAAAGAATGAGAGAGAGAGAGAGCGCACGCAAATAGACGGGAGGGAGGGAGGAAAAGTATGCCTCCCCTTTGCTTCCCCAGCTGCCCTGCTGGGAGCCGCACAATATGTGTGAAAGAGCCACATGTGGCTCCCGGCAGTTTGGCCACCCCTGGTCTAGGTGAACTAGGCAATTGCTTAGTGTGCCAGACTTGAAGCATTGTTGAATTTAATAACAGAGAGTCCTCGTCCTCCCATTTATCACATTATCTCTTATTTTTCTTTCTGTTACGGGGCGTGTGAAGTCATTGTTTGCCTGTGACACCAAAACCCCTCGGGGCTGGCACCAACTGTCACTGTAAACAGTGAGGACACAGGAGCAACAGGGAAGAAGAGGGAGGTGTGAGCTGTCGGTTAAAACTGTGGGTTAGTAGCAGTGGGGACAGTGCGGTGTCAGGCTGTTGATTTGTTTACTTCATTTATTCCCCGCCTCTCTTCCCAGTCGGGACCCAAAGCAGTTAAGATCCTTCTCTTCTCCTCTACTGTAGCTTTACTACAACCCTGAGAGGTAGGTCAGGCTGAAAGTGACTGGCCCAAGGTCACCCAGCAAGCTTCCATGGCAGAGTGAGGATTTGAACCCAGATCTATCAGATCCCAGTCCGACACCCTCACCTCTGCATTGCAGTGGCCTGGGGTGAAGATGAAGAAGAAGAAGAGGAGGAGGAGGAGGAGGAGGAGACTGGATTTATACCCCGCCCTTCACTACCCAAAGGTGTCTCAGAGCGGCTTACAAACTCCTTTCCCTTCCCCTCCCCACAACAGACACCACCCTGTGAAGTAGGTGGGGCTGAGAGAACTCTTGACAGAAACTGCTCTTTTTTTCAAGAACAGTTGTGCCAGAGTTATGGCTTGCCCAAGGTCATCCAGCCAGGTGCAAGTGGAGGAGTGGGGAATCAAACCCGGTTCTCCCAGATTAGAGTCCGCGCACTTAACCACTACAGATTTAAGATGGACTTAAATCTGTAAAGGCAGTGAGCTGCTGTTTGGGGAGCTGCCAGAACAGTGGCCTCCAGTCGGTGACCGGCTGGCCCTCTCTGGGAACCGGGGAATGACACTGACGAACTGCATTTCTCCCTCCTGGAAATTGGATCCACTTGCTGTGCGGGGCCTCCTGCTAGCCTCCTCCCCAAACTTACCCTGGCGAGAGGCAGCAGTAAAGAGTGGTCAGAGTTGTGTTGGCCTGCTGAAACACCCTGGGGCAATGGACAGCCGTGGTCCGGGCCCCCAAGGGTGTAGTGGTTAAGTGCCCGGACTCTAATCTGGGAGAACCGGGTTTGATTCCCCACTCCTCCACTTGCACCTGCTGGATGACCTTGGGCAAGCCGTAGTTTTGTCAGAGCTGTTCTCTCAAGTACAGTTCTGTAAAGAGCTCTTTCAGCCCCACCTGCCTCACAGGGTGTCTGTTGTGGGGAGGGGAAGGGAAAGGACAGGAGTTAGTAAGCCGCTCTGGGACTCCGAGTGAAGGGTGGGGTATAAATCCAATCTCTTCTCTTCTTCCTTGGCCTTGGAAAGTTTGGGAGACAGCAGAGAGGACCGGCAGTGGCTGGAAAGCCCTCTCATGCTCCTGGCCTTGTCTCTCTGGTCCATTGAGCACCCTGGGGGGGAGAAAACCCCCCACCAGGGGCTGTTTTGGCCTGGTTCTCTAGCTAGACCACTCCTTTGCTGGAGCTGCATGTGTCGCCCCTTGCTTGCGTGCCGAATCTCTCTTCCCTGTGACCAGCTCGGCATTTGGAAGCTCAGTTGAGCTTTGTTGCTGCTGGGGGCTTTGATGGCAGCGCCGGGCGGAGGGCGTCCCTAAAAATATCCCCGGCCCCTGGAGAGGCTTTTCGGAGAGGTGCCTTTTTTCCATGAGCTCATCTCATTTGCTCCGCGCAAATAGCTCTGAGCCGCTCTCGCTCCTTGTTGGTGGGGAGGGGAGCTGTCTGCCAAGCAGATGGCCTCCGTCCCTGTCCACCTTGCTTCCTTTGTGTTAACCCTCTGGCAGTGGCCCCAACGATGCTGGGGAGACCTAAGCCATGGAAATGCACACTTGAAACCATGTCAACGAGAATTCGGAAAAAGAAAACGAATAAGTAATCCAGAGCAGAACCAGAAGGCCCATAATGAAGCTAAATGGTTCTGGCCCTGAAATCTGGAAGCAGGCGATCAAGAGAGTCAGAAGTGGTTTAAGAGGATTGGGGTATACATGTACATCTTTTTGTCCCCGCTGTTGTCCCTCGCCAGGGCTCTTTGCAGAAAAAGCCCAGCAGGAACTCATTAGCATAATAGGCCACACCCAACACCAGAAACTCATTAGCATATTAGGCCACACCCCTGACAGCACAGCTCATTAGCACATTAGGCCGCACCCCCATGTTACCAGAAGTGTGGTCATCCAGCCACACCCACCTTTTGCTTCTTATTCTGTTTACCTTGTTTGTCTTCAAAACCCAGGGGTTTTTTTGTAGCAGGAACTCCTTTACATGTTAGGCCACACACCTCTAATTGGCTAATCCTAATGAGTTTCTGCTGTTGGGTGTGGCCTATTATGCTAACGAGTTCCTGCTGGGCGTGGCCAACTCGGGAGCCAGCCGGAACTCCGTTCCTGTGCGTTCCTGCCCAAAAATAGCCCTGTCCCTCGCCAAGCAGGTGTTGCAGGCTTTTGCAAAGGTGCGCAAACTTGCAAAACCTGTTTGGCAGAGGCGGCAACTAGGAGAGTGGGCACACTCATGCCACTACCACCCACCTGACTGGCTTCTTCTGAAAAAGCCGCATGTGCTGGAGAGGGAGAATGGGGCCTCAGTTTTATCCATGTGCCTCAAGAGCAGCAGCCCAGAAGAGATGTTGGAGAACCTGGGTCACACCAAGCCGTTGAAGTTGGGCTGTATGACCAGATTGCCTGCGGAGATCATGTAACTGAATGCTTCTGTGTGGAGAAAGCTTCTTGCTCTTAGAAGGGTAGCACCGAGGGGGGAAAGAACCTTTCTCCCTCATAGGCTAATTTCCTAAGTGTAGGTAAACATTTGGTCATTCTGAAGCAGCACCGCCCAGACTTTGCATGTACAGGGCTTCGCTGAATTAGCAAAACGTGGGAGAATAAAGAAGGCCTCTGTAAACTGCATCAGATACGCAGCATGCAGGCTTCCCAGGGGAGACTGCCCGATAGCATCGTGGCCCACTGAAGGGAAGGCCCCCCGTTGTAGAATTCAGTACCCCTTTCTGGGCTGGGGGCAATGTTCCCTCTAAGCTGAGTTAGTGTGAGCTAGCTCACAGTTTTTTAGCCTCCAGCTCATACATTTTTGCCTCAGCTCAGGAAGGATGGCTCCAGAGCAAACTAATTTGTTCAGGAACCAAATCGCTTGCTCACAACTTTAATGCCAGTGGCTCACAGAGTAGAATTTTTGCTCACAAGACTCCACAGCTTAGAGGGAACATTGGCTGGGGGTAATGCTCCCTCTAAGCTGTGGAGTCTCGTGAGCAAAAATTCTACTTTGTCAGCGGCTGGCATGAAAGTTGCGAGCGAGCGATTTGGCTGCTGCCTAAATCACTTTGCTCTGGAGCCCCCCCATCCTCCCTGAGCCAAGACAAAAATGTGTGAGCCGGAGGCTAAAAAACTGTGAGCTAGCTCGCACTAACTCAGCTTAGAGGGAGCACTGGCTTGGGGGTGAGATCACAGGATACACGGCACCCTGAGGAGAGCTCTCCTGGGGGAAGAGGGGGCTTTAGACAGAGATCAGCATCTGGGGAGCCCCCGGGCCCAACGGGGCTTCCCAGAGGCAAGAGCAACAGCAGGCATGGCCATCGAGTGTGCTGGGAGTCCACTTGGGGGGCGGAGGGGGTGGTACCTGGCTTGCCACCAACTTCTTGCTTCTCACTAGAGAATGGGTGTGAGTAATCAGGAATGATCTCAGTTTGACCTTTCTTGGAGACATGGCTGGTTCTGAAAGCCATTGGGGTTGGGAGCAGTGTTCCCTCTAAGCTGACTGAGCGTGAGCTAACTCACAGTTTTTTAGCCTCCAGCTCACACATTTTTATCCAGTCCAGTTACCTTTATTGGCATGTAACCCTTGCAAACCCATATACAAAAAAACCCCAAAACAACCACCACAGCATAGAATAATATCTGCAAAATACAGAAACAAGGAATTACCAAGTAAGTATACCCATCAATTAAAAAAAGGGCGAACAGAAATGGCACCAAAAAGAAATTTAGCAACAGTTTCCGTTATCTCAAAGTTTGGATTATCAAGAAGAATAAGGATCTTTAGGCAATCAGGATATTCTTCTAGTTGAGCCAAAGTGAAATTTAGAAATTTCAATCGTAGCACATGGTAGAAGGGGCACTGAAACAAGACATGGGAAATCGTTTCGATATTATCATTTGTGCATGGGCAACATCTGTCAGAAAAGGGCACACCCTGAAAGCGGCCAGATAATAAGGCCGAAGGTAATACATTGAATCTCGCCAAAGAGAGGGCTCTACAGAGTTTGGGGGTGTGAAGTTGGTACAGGTAAGAGGCAGCTTGGCCGACTTTAGGAGATATTCCAAAATACAGGGGTGAACAGGTTTTATTAGCGGCATTATACAGTGAATGTAGCTCAGAACAAAGTAGATTGGCTCTTATAATTGAAAAAGCCTCCGATTCGGGAGTAAGGAGTAAGGAAACATTTTTATCTTAGCTCAGGAAGGATGGCTCCAGAACAAACTAATCAATGCAGCAGCCAAATTGCTCACTTACAACTTTAATGCCAGTAGCTCACAAAGTAGAATTTTTGCTCACAAGACTCCACAGCTTAGAGGAAGCACTGGTTGGGAGCCTGAGACGCCTGCCCCGGCAACAACCCCTGTCCTGCAGGTGAAGAGCTGAGAATATGCAGAGGTCAGCTCGACGGTCACACCTCTGCGACCCTTACGGCAGCCGATGAAGGCCCTCCTCTTCATTGTCTCTCTCCCCCCTTTGCTTTTTCCTCTTTGCAGCAGCGTGTGCACCATGGGGCTGGTCCTGCCGCTCTGGAGCGACGCCCTCATTCATCTGGATGGCGACGGGTAAGAGCCGCTTTGTGATCAGACGGATCCTTCTGAGCCTCTGCCTCCTCCCCGATTCCCCCCCCCCCGCAAAAAGCCCCTGGCAGGCCCAGTTGTTTGGACATTAGTTTCCAGTGCTGATCAAATGGCATTGAGACCTGAACCCCGGGAAGAAGATGGCCTTGTCTTCTTCTTCCTACTTGCTTGCGGGAAAGCAGAGCGCTCTAGAGCCATGTCTTTGTGGCAGTCCTCCAGGACCAAACCAGAAGGGGTTTGCTACAGTTGCTACAAAGCCAAGGCCAGTGGCCGGATTCCACCTCTCCTCTCCCAGTGTGGGAATACCACCTGACCGCCAGTTGACCCCCTTGCCTGTGAACACACATGAACACAGATGAAGCTGCCTTATGCCACATCAGACCCTCGGTCCATCACAGTCACGATGGTCAACTCAGACCGGCAGCGGCTCTGCAGGGTCTCAGGCTGAGGTCTTTCTCGGCCCCTGTTGCCTGGTCCGTTTAAACTGGAGATGCCGGGGACTGAACCTGGGAACTTCCGCGTGCCAAGCAGACGCTCTGCCATTGAGCCACAGCCCCTCAGTCCCGCCTTTACTAAGCATGGTTCTCTGTTTTCTTCTTCTTTTAAGGGGCTTCAGCGTCTCGACAGACAACAGGGTGCACATCTTCAAGCCGGTGTCGGTGCAAGCCATGTGGTAAGAAGACCTTTCGCAGGCCGTTGTCAAGAATCCCAGCCTTCAGTCTCTGGCTACAGCCAGCCAGATAGATGCCTCTGGGAAGGCCCTCCCCAGCCACTCTCAGGAAGGCCAGGAGCAGGTGGTCAAGGTCTCTCTCTCTGTGCCTCGGGCACCGTGAAGAACAAACTCCTTGAGTGTCATATTCTTGGCTGCCTGGGTCGATTTCCTTCCCTTGTAGGGCAGTCCCTGGTCCAAGAGTTTTTTTTGTTTTAGTCAATTTGGTGACTCACAATTCCTTTGCACTGCAGACCACTAGATTGGAAGTATGTGTGTGTGTGTGTGTGTGGGAATTGGGGCTATTTTAGCCTGGCCTCTTTAGGTCGCAGTGCAAGTTAGAGCCTTGGAATAGGAGCCGCTTCATGCCTCCTCTTATTAGAAAGCATCTCCAAGCATTTTGCAGAAGCCAGCTTCTTGGACAGATTTGAACCCGCCAGGCGGTGAGTTTGGGCATGATGGTTTCTGAGAGTGTCGTGTCCCAGGAATGGTTCAGAAGACGGCTGCGGCTCGAGAGCCCTATTTTAAGTTGTGACGTCGTGCACTGGCTTCCAAACTGTACCCAAAGAGCTACTGGCATTCATCAGCAGCTTACTAGGGGGTTTCCAGTGATAAAGGTCTGTAATGGTGGACGAGGGTTCCTGAAAGGTGTGTGCTACAGTGTATGTGTTTGGGTGGGGGGACGGGACACCCCATGAAGTTGATTGGTTGGCAGGAGCATAGGGTGCAGACATAACAAAGTGCAGTGTGTCCAAATGAACCTTTCACAACTTTAGTTTCGGAGGGGAGCTACGTTGGTCTGCCGTGGAACAGCCAGATTCCAGTCGCACCTCCGAGACCAACAAGGTGTTTGGGGGCGTCGCTTTCGAGAGTCGATGCTCCTTTCATCAGTTACAACGGGAGCTTTGACTCGGAAGCTCATACCCTGGAAATCTTGTTAGCCTCTGAGGTGCAACTGGATTTGGAATCTCGCCACTTTACAACTTTGAATCACAATACTGAATACGGACACAGACGGTCACAAAGTTTGCTTTGTCAAATAGAACATGTTCGAAGAGTTTTTACAGGGCTCTTTTTGTAGCAGGAACGCCTTTGCATATTAGGCGACACACCCCTAATGTAGCCAATCCTCCAAGAGCTTACAGTAGCCCCTGTAAGAAGAGCTCTGTAAGCTCTTGGAGGATTGGCTACATTAGGGGGGGTGTCGCCTAATATGCAAAGGAGTTCCTGCTACAAAAAGAGCCCTGCACAGTTATATCCACAGCCCGCTTCGATGTGAACCCCCTTGTTGCCTGGAGGAGATCAAGTTGATATTCTGACTCCGTGGGTTCACTCAAGCAAGCCTGCATCTCCTGTTCCGGCAGTATCTGTGATCTTCCGTTCTAGCACTGTTCTGTTATCTAGTCACCCGAAACACAATCTTCTTCTTCTTCTTCTTCTTTTTTTTGCTGTAATAAACCTTCTGTTACGTTATGTGATCCCATTTAGAAGCCGTATTTATTCAAAGTTGTAAAGGTTTCATAGGGATACCCTGGACTTTTTCCTCTAGTGCATATTAAACTTATGGAACTCCACACCGCAGGATGCAAGGCCCAGTGGCTTAGATGGGCTTTTGGAAACAAACCAGTGGAGCAGAGGTTTGCAGATGATGTCCGTCTCCTTCTGAGTAGCAAATACCGGGAACAAACAGGAGGGCTGTTGCCTTCCTTGTGACATTCCAGAGGCATCTGACCGGCTGCTTCTGGGAGCAGAATGCCTGACTGGATGTACTTTTGGCCTGTTCCAGGAGGGCTTCTCGCCCTGAGTCATGCCCCTGGTGCCTTTAAGCCCTGCTCCATCTGCTTGGATGTGCACAGGTCTTTCGAAATCCCGCTTCTCACGATTCGTCTTGGAGAATCCTCTGCCCCCGTGCTGCAGTCCTCTGTGTCCTTCGGTGGCCCATCTGGGAGCGAGCAGCAGCTGACAGTGTCTCCCCTCCTTCCTCAGGTCCGCCCTCCAGAGCCTTCACAAAGCGTGCGAAGTGGCCCGGATCAATAACTACTACCCCGGGAGCCTTTTCCTCACCTGGGTCAGTTACTATGAGAGCCACATCAACTCCGACCAGTCCTCGGTCAACGAGTGGAACGCCATGCAAGATGTCCAGTCCCACCGGCCAGACTCCCCTGCCCTCTTCACAGATGTGTAAGTAGACCCAGGATTGTGCCAGCCCCTTCGGTCGCCAGAAGCCCTGGCCTTGCCGTGGCCCAAGTGTGGAGCCCGTCTCTGCTTGGTACGGCATTCATAAACAGGCTCTTGATCTGTGCTGGTGGATCTTTGTTTCTCACACTATATTCACTTGATTTTTTTTGGGGGGGGGGGTGATTTTCTACTGTTGATCTGGTCTCCAGAAGTGGCTAGGACCTATTCTGCTGGGTTGCCGTGTTGGTCTGAAGCAGCAGAACAAAGTTTTGAGTCCAGTGGCACCTTGAAGACCAAGAGAGTATCTGAAGAAGTGTTGCATGCACACGAAAGCTCACACCTTGAATAAAACTTTGTTGGTCTTAAAGGTGCCCCACTGGACTCAAAACTTTGTTCTGCCAGGGGTGTCAGACATATGATCTGTGAGCCGGAACCGGCCCACCCAGCGAGTAACCGGTCATGACCTTTATTGCCAGATGACAGAGGCTGTGCTTTCTGTTCCTGTATACTGTCCCAGTGCTAAGGAGTAATGGTTGGTGGAAGTGGGAGGGTGGGCATCGGGGAGAGGCTTTAAGGAAATACTGTAAGAGTGTTAAGCATGTTTGTATGTTGAGTGAAAAATAATATCATTAATTGGGTTTGCCTGTGTCCTTTATAAAGTTTATTTCTCCAGTACATGGCATTACATTTATGACCAGTTTGTTTTAGTGGTTAAGTACGCGGACTCTAATCTGGGGGAACCGGGTTTGATTCCCCCACTCTTCCACTTGCACCTGCTGGATGACCTTGGGCAAGCCATAGTTCTGTAAGAGCTGTTCTTGAAATGAGCAGTTTCTGTCAGAGCTCTCTCAGCCCCACAAACCTCACAAGGTGCCTGTCGTGGGGAGGGGGAGGGAAAGGAGTTTGTTAGCCACTCTGAGACTCCTTTGGGTAGTGAAGGGCCATGGGGTATAAATCCAATCTCCTCTCCTCCTCCTCCTCCTCCACATGGCCTGGCCTGACAAAGTGACATTTTTGTCAGATCCGGCCCTCGTAACAAATGAGTCTGATGCCTCTGTTCTAAGTCATATTCTAGTTCACGATGGGTCGTCATGTTTGTCTTGTCTGCAGCAGTAGAAAAGAGCAAGAATCCAGCAGCGCCTTAAAGAGGAACAAAATCTGTAGCAGGGGAGGAGCATTCGTGAATCGGTGGTATCTGGAGAAGTGAGCAGCGACTCACGAAAGCTCAGACCCCGCCACAGATGTTAGTCTTTCAGGCACTATGATATTCTAGCTCAGTGGCTAAAACGCAACAGCGTTTTGGCTTTAGACAACCAGCGAAGAACATGCACAGCTGCCTCATATAGAGTCAGACGACTCTGGTCAGTCGAGCCCAGTGTCCTTTGGCCGTGGCTGTCTCAGGCAGAAGAAGGTCTTCCTCTACACAACAGCTGCTTTCTGAGACGCTTTAACTGAAGGCAGGGGGCTCTGTTCGTGAGCCACGGCCCCTCCCCATCGGTAGACACACCTGCTACTTTTTAGTGCTTCAGAGGCAGACCGAAGAAACAGAACGGCTTTTGTTCCGGCTGGTCTTCGTATCCTTGTTTCTGCCGTGACGATTTTGTGTTCGCAACATCTCTGTCTCTTATCTGGCCACCGTGCGTATGTGCGTCTCGCGACACAGGCAAATGCCTGTGATGATCTGTTCGTTGCTTACTCCTTCGTTTCGGCTTCAAGTGTTACAATATACGACTGCATATAAGCCAGCCTGCTGTCAGCGCTGACAGTGTTTAGATGGCTTTTTTGAAAGGAGTCGGCAAATCCGTAGCGGGGCAACTCGTCATTGGTGGGGGGCAGCGTCCCCCTTTGCACCCTGCTTGCGTTCTTCCAGAGGGGCCAGGCTGGAACTCGGGATGCCGAACTCGCGTGGTCTGATCCAGTCTGGCAGTGTTGATGATCTCATCTCAACTTAGAAGCCTTGCAGCAGCGATATAGAACCTCCCCAGACAGAGGCAGTATACCTCTGGGCACCAGGCACTCTTGCTTTCGTGTTCTGCTTGTGTGCTTCCCCTCTGGCTGGCTGCCGTGCCCCTTTGCTCCGATCTTGTCCCGGCAGTTTTTTTTTTTACAAAGGGAGTGTGAGACACAAACTCTCGGCCGCCGTGAAAAGAGGCAGCCCCGGCTTTCCAGCCTAGAGCAGCAGCCGCTTGGCACGCCCCGTCCTTGCTGATTAGGCTCAGCTATTTCCTACAGCCTGTGATAAGGCTAGAGGCAACCCACGGCCCTTTGCTGTGTTCAGCTTCCCATATAAGGACATACAGAGTCAGTTACCTTTCCAAGAAAGGTAACAGGAGGCGGGGCAGAGGAGCTGGGAGGGATTGGCCAGGGTAGCAAAGACTGTCCTGCACTCTGGCCAACCCCGTGCAGGGACAAGCAAGTGTGTGTGGGGGGGGTCAGTTCTCTCCCTGTGAATTCTGGCGGCTTAGAAGCTCAGAAATAGTCCGGAGGCAATGGATGTTTCCTCTTGGGGGTCTCTGCCTAGGGAGGACAAAGCCGTCCTCTCCCCTTGGATAGCTGGACACAGCTGAGACACATAACCCACAGTCTCCAGACTAGCAGGGCCTGTGGAATCCCCTGCATTTGCTTCCTGGGTGCCCTTGCCTCTTTCCCCTCCCCTCCCACTGTTGTGTCCACACCATGCACACTCACAGAGTTGAAATGGCCAGGCCTCTCAAATGCACAGCGGAACGAAGTGATAAAACCAGGGGTCGTTTCGTAGAAAAAGAGCTAGGGGACCTCATTAGCACAACGTATTAGCATATGCCACACCCCCTGACATCACCGGAAGTGTGTCATAAGGCCACACCCCCTGACATCACCGGAAGTGTGTCATAAGGCCACACACCCCGCCCGCAACGGTCCCGGCCACCGCCGCCGGCCTTGCAGCTCCACTGCTGAGCCTCATGAAGGGCCTGGCAGTGGACCTGCAAGGCTGGCGGGAGTGCAAGGAAGCCCCGCGAAGGCCCTCCCTGGCCCCAGGCAGGCAGGGGTGGGGAGAGGCAGGGAGGAAGCAACTTACCCTCCCTCTTCTCCTGCCTCCTCCTGGCTGAATGAGGGCCAGAAGCGGGGCGGCTGGAAGCAGGGGCGGGGCTTCATCATTTGCCCCGCCCTCGGTACCTCACCCGGGGGAACTGCCATAGTACTAGCAGTTCCCCCCCGAAATGACCTCTGAGTTTCTTGTACTTTTAGCTATAACTTGTGAATACCAACTACTTAAATTCATAAACTTTAACTTATCTGTAAGTTATTCGTTTGTCAATTTAGTTGACCAGTGATTAACTTTGGCACAATTCAGCTGGAAATAGCTCAGTGGGATAAGTTATCCCCAGGTTGGTTAGAAAGTCATCAATGAAATAGCCATGAAATTGGATTTTTTCTTGCTCCATGGGATACATGTCCACGTCCCTGAAATGGCTCCAAATACTCTGAAGAATTGTATAGACGGGAAAATTTGCTAGTTGAGGCTTTTCTCATCTCATGGTACACTGAGAAAGTAAGCTGTACCTGGCAGACATTTTCCTTTCAGTTTAATTTCTTATAGGCAAACATGCACTTAAAAGCATTGGAACAGACAAATCTCTGTGGCAAATGCCTGCTGCCCATTTTGAGTCCCATGGTCCTTTGACTCCTGTAGCATTCTGGTCTCTCCTGTTCTGTGCTAATACCATAGCATAAATTGAATTATTATAGTTAATTTGTTTGATTACCTATGGCAATTTAAACTTCAAAATAAACTGAATGTGTTGAATCCTTCAAGTCTGATGATCTTCTCTAAAACAGAATTTAATGAAACTGTAGCTTCACATATTAAGAAATAGGTTCCTTTAGAACCAGTAAGGTTGACCTCAAAATCTTATGGCAGAAATGTGAGGGATGATGCTCAAAGATTCCCTACCTTAATAATTCTCTGTAAGGGGAAAACTAGCACAGCATGTGATGGGCTATGCTTTCACAATGATGTCCTAATCTTTATTTTCAGGAAATTCTTAGATGGGAAACATTATTATTTATAACTTTTCATTTATATTCTGCTTTTCTCCTTGACTGGATCCCAGTTTCCCTCTCATTGACTGGGTCACAGTTTTCCCCATTACATGGTTTCCCCCTCCTCCAGCCTGTCCCCATAGCAATGACATTGTAGGGGAGGTTAGGCTGAGAGATTATGAGAAGCCCAGGGTTACCTGGTGAGTTTCTGTGGCAGAGCATGGATCTGAACTGGGTTCTCCCAGGTCCTCCTAGCCCAGCACTCTTAAACACTCACCTCACCTGCAGTCTGAAACAGTGCATAGGTCCTTTGTATCACCTCAAGATTCTCTCACC